ATATGTAAACCTCTCATAACTTTTGAACGGCTTGATCGATTTGATCGCGGTTGGTGGCATTTGAAAGGGTTCGACTAAACTTAGATTTTGAATACAAGTTGGACCGATTCGAACCGATAGATTTTGAGAAATCTCAAAAAAACTGCTAAAAAAAAATTTTTCCAAATGTGGTTTTTTTTTTAATAACTTTCAAACGGCTCGACCGATCAATTCCAAAAACTAATCAACTTTTAACGTCAAAAAACTACGTCGATCGCCACCAATCTGGTCAAAATCGGTTGATTCGTTCGTGAGTTATCGTTGACGAAATAAATCGAAAAAAGTGTTTTTTTCGAATTACACCAAAACTTTCGGTCTTATCAATTTGTGTTTAAAAATGTATCCTAGAATTCAAAAAACTGCGTCGAATTCCGCCAACCGCGTGAAAATCGGTTCATTCATTCAAAAGTTATTGCGGTTTGAAAATTCAAAAAATAATGTTCTATTAAAAACATCTCAGAATTTTGAGCTCGGAGAGCTCAAAATAACACATAAATTATATTTTGAGTTCTTCGAGCTCAAAAATGTAATAAATGCAATTTTGAGCGCTTAATTACGAAACTAGCGGGAAGTTGCAGGGATGGCCTTCAGGGTCAACCGTTTTCCTAATTTTTTAAGTATTTTTCATATGAATAAATTAGGGATGAACGGTGCTCTTTCAAAACAGTGGTATAGAGCTCACATCTATGATAAGATGGCAAAGGCTCATTTAAAAAGCCAAAACCAAAATTATTTACCTTCGATGTATAGGTAGTTATTAATTTTTATTGATAAACAGTGACGTGGCTGAGATTAAAAAAAATTGAATTTGAGCCTTTTTTCGCAGTTTTCAGTCCTAAAAAAATAATTAAAATCAAAATTTTCATTTGATATGTAAACTTTCGGAGAATGGACTAGAAAAGAATAATTATTTCAAAAGTTACAAACCAGAATGATTCCTTAAGTTTACTATCGAATCTTTTAAAAAATTGTATTAAATTCCAAGAAAAATTTGCTTATGATCTGTAAAAACTTTGAAAAAGATAACTAAGGGTAAGTGACTCTACTAGGATATAAAACCGCTATTTTTTCTACATTCACAATTTCCGTAATTTTCCAAAAAAAATTTTTGTAATATTTCATAAAAACCCTCTCTTTAAATATAAAAAAATCACATCTTATAAGAAGATTAATCTCAAAAATAATTATCATTTAATTAGATGAAAATTCAAATCTCTACAACCCAGTGATAATTAACAATTCACCAGAGCCTATAATTCCCGGTCAAACATTAAAATTGAAATGCTCTGTCAATACTCCTCACGGCCATTTGTATTTATTACGCTGGAAAATTCCTAAGCAGGTAAATATACTTACCAGTGCAATTGCTACATCTTTAATTTAATTAATTTTTTGAACATCACACTAATACTTTTATTTTCAGAGTAACAGAGTATCTTACAACTACTTCGAAACACAAAATGATGAACATTCTTTTACATATACCAGAGAATTAATTATCTCAGGAGTAACTAATGAAGATGAAGGAATCTATGAGTGCGAATATGTCGCTCCACAGTTGAAAAAACAAAATTCATCTAAGATAAACATAACCATCGATAATAAATCTTTAGCAGATCACAATGAAATTGATGCCAGTTTCGATTATCCTCAAATTGATATTCGTATGGGTAACTCAGAGAAAGTAGGTCATGCAGAAATCTAAACTGTTTATCGTTGCAAGCGTTTAATAAACTTTAAAATAGACGCTTATAATGTATGAATATCAAATATGAATAAATAATTGTTGTAAAATCAATAACTTCCAGAATTTTGAAAATTTTCAATTTTCTTAGCGGGAAGTTAAAAATAAATTGTATTTTTTTAATTAAAATTACTCATTGAAAGGTTGACGATAAAGTATCAATGTTAATCGCATCAATTATATTTATGTCTGGCCGAGGCACAATGTCTAATATCAACTTCGGAATAGGTAATTCACTTTCATATTTATAAAAATCGTTGAAGAATATTTTAACTATAGCATACTTATACGGCAAATGATCAATTACAATTGATTTTGACGAAAAATTGTTAATGCGATTCCGAATTACCGAGTAGTTAATTGGTAGGCTAATATTACACCAGTGCCGGTAATGATGTTGATCGAATAAACATAATTTGACTCTAAGACTGCCAGTAATTTTATCTACAACCATATCATAAAGAATTGTATACACTTGATATCTTGGTTGAAACATATTAATCACAAATTTTGTCGATGTATCTTGTAGCTTATAACTACTGCTTTGATTACTCCGAGAGCTCATAATTTCTTCAACAATATAAACTTTTTCTTTTATAACGTTGTCATTAGTAATCGACAAAAGAACATATTTTGCTGTAGAAAATTTCATCTTTTTCACAGAATCTGATGCTTTATTGCAAGGAAATTTAACTATCACTCCATCAAAATACAACTGATTAAAATTAATATTCTTTTGCAACTCCGCATTGAAATAATTAACAAAAATATTTAAATTATCAAAAGCGGGACACGGAATCAAATATTCAAACATGTTGATAGTTTGACAGAATTTTGGAACGAGATGAGTTGCCCTCGTAGCCGATGAAATCGTTAGCATATTCTCACCATTCCACATGAACACATCAGTCAAGATTAAAATAATTGATTTCGTTGAAGTGTTCCAAACGTCGTAGCAGCTTGATAATTTACCACCACTGCGTTTCAATATCACTAATTCAATGCAACAAATTGCTACTTTTGTCAATATAACTTTTACATGATCAATTATTGATTGGCAACAATTGATTCTCTTTCCTGCAGAATCATAAATAAACACAACATCATAGTTCTTGTTAGCAATAATGTGCAAACCTTTTAAGTTAGGAACAATTACTTTGTACCCACTATCTTTGATTTCAGACATAACACTTGGTGTTAATGTTTGTGAAGCGCGCAAGATGCTTCTGATTGGAAAAGTTAGATTATTTACGTTACACTTTAAGCATTTGCGAAGAGTGTAATAATCTGTTATCAAATCAATCACTTCATGAGAAAACTGACGTACATATTTTGTGTAATCTCTTCTCATGCATTGCCAATATTCAGGTAGCAGCTTTTCGAAGTAACTGCGTTGGAGCAGATAACGACACAGATACAAAGTGTAAATCTCAATGATGTCGAAGAATTCGTAGGGTTCGATCATTGAATTACGCTCATTAGAACATGCATTTAGTTTAAGTGGCTTGATTTTTGTGCAACTCAGTGCGAAATTAACCATATGGATGGTTAACTTTTTTGAGTCGTGTTTATGTTTTTCGGTCAATCTTTGATTGATTAAATTTTTTAATCCATAATATCGATCACAAGTAGATAATTTTGAGATATTTTTATGGTCTAAGAGTGTCCAAGGTTGCTCTAATTCGTATGGAGTTAAATTAAAAGCAGAATCTAATGATATGTTTAAATTGTTTGATTTTTGATTCGGACAAATAGGTGCAATGTTGCGTTTCTGTTTCAGTTCAAGCTCAACCTGAAAATTGTCTTCTGAAGGTTGAATTGAACTTATGCTTTTGACTTTTCCTTTTCTGAAGAACAATGGATTACTGTCATTTATTAACGAAATAACAGTTGGATCACAACATTTTGATACTCGATCTAGCTTAACCGTTGTTAAGAACCGAGTGTTTATTTTATTCCAAATAAGGGAGTCGTAGAATTTTCGGCAGGCACAATCAGTGTGAATAGTTAAATTACCGGGAACTGAGTTTCTAGAAAAAGATATGGGCTCATTGAAGAAAATGTTGTTTCTTTTCTCATATACTAATGAACAGAATGATTGTTGCGATAAGATGTCGAACTGTCGTAGCCAAATAAACAGATTCTCGTTTGTTAGTTTGTTTGGTTCGCCTACGTTCGAAATGATAAAATGGAATGCGTCATATAGTGTCAACGTAGACATTAAAGATATTTATTTTAATTGATTTTTAGATTAATACTTTTACTACTATTATAAACGATAGTAAAATTGAAAAATAATAATCTGGAGAAAATGCCATTGTTATTTTTTTTGAAATTATTAACAAAATTAAATCTTTTATTTTCAATCATACTGAAGAAATAGTTATTTTCGATACGTATGCGCAAAGATAGGTATTTTGGTAAGCTTGAAGTGACGTCACGAGGCTGAGGTTATGGGCCCATTCCCAACAAAACCGAGTACACTGTTATCGGTCGAGCAAAGCGAGACCAGATATTACGTACGAGATTTTGTTGAGAATGTATCCATAACCTCAGACGAGTTTCATCACTTCAAGTTTATTACCAAAAGACCTACCTTTGCGGATTTGTATCGAACAAAATTTTTTGTAATATCAACGGCGAAACTCGGATTTTTTGCTCGACGGGCAGAAAGCGTCAAATTTCGGCCCACTGCGCTAAATGAAATTGCCACTTTCTGCCTTCGTCGAGTAAAAAAATAGCATACACTCCTCGGGAAGTAAATAAGAAAGCCTCAGATCACATGTAATTGTTGGCCTCGGCTTCGCCTCGGCTAACAATTACATGTGATCTGAGACATTTTCTTACTTTACTTCCCTCGGTGTGTAATATACTATTGTTTACAATAATCGACTTGTCGCTAAGGCTTTTTTTTTCGATTTATACTTTCCTTGACGGACGATTGTAGAAGTAAACGAAACTAAATATCCTATATAATAGTTATTTTTAGCACCCGTGCGGGAATGTAGAGACAGATAGATAGAGAGATGTCACTTATCGATATGTGTGCGAGAAAAGTAGACTCAACTATAGCTGGCCAGATATCATTCATTTTATCCCTCCTAACTATAGCTCGAAAATCCAAGTTTCGTGGTTGGTACATTATTAATCTCGTGAAAGATTTTTTTTATATGCTCACGTGATCATAGGTGGCTAGATCCGTTTACATATCATAATTTACGAAAATTAGCCATATAAATATGCATCATAAAATTTTTTTCATGGAATTTCATGAAAACTTACCTTTTATCTCTTTTCTGCCAAGTAGAATTCTTAAGCGTTGCTTAGAAAGATAATCACAGGATATATAGTTGTACAATATATTTATGAGTTATTTATTAGGATGAAAGTATATACATATGCTGCGATTGTTTACATCAAATAACTATTAATAAGTTAGAATATATTCGTTTTACCTTACTTAACTTTCAAAGTGAGTAAAACATTCAAGTACACATATTATTTTTCTCTGGTTAATATCATCACTACTACAGTAGTTAGTTGTAAACATTATAACAATATGCCTAATTTCATGGCAAGTACATGATGAGAATTCAATAATAACAATAAAGTGTTTTCAAAGTATATCTATAAATAACACATGTAAAATCGATGATGATATGACAATCTTCATAAAATTTCTAAGAATGAAAAACAATTAATGAAATTTAGTAGAATAGATTACATAACATTAATTGAACAAGACATAGAATTACAATTTCTTTTTTCTGTAACTTAAATTAATCAACAATAATTTATTATATGCACTCGAATGTATTGTCCGATAAAACGCACACTAAAAATCTATCAATTTTTTATTCCTTCTTACTTTGGTTCTGATCTCTGGAGGTCAGATTCCGTTTAAAATATAAAAATTCCTAGTCATTCTTACACACATAATACACCAGATACACACATCTAAATATTTAAAGATAAATTTTAAAAATTATTAAAGATATTAAATCAACTCAGCTCAAAGCAAGCAAAGGTTCAACAGTCATACGAAATTTTCTGGCCTTATCTTCCTGGTATTTTTTCATTTTCATAAGTTTTCGCTTTCCAGAACTCAATTTTTTAACTGGTAGCTCAGTTGTTGTTGTGCTATCATCTCCAGTATTTTCATTGTCTTGCTCTTCTAACATTCTCAGAGTTTCAATGATATTCCTCGGTTCAGTGGCTCCTCCAACGGCAGCACTTTTCGTGCCATTTCGATTCGTATAAACAACAGACAAATGAGAAAAACTAGACTTGGGTGGAGCTGTGATGTCAGCAAAGTCGCGGAAATTCGAGAAAAAATCTCCTGGCCGAACAGGTTGTGGCTTAGGATTCCGATAATGATTGGATCGTCCTCTGTTGGCATGATTGGATGAGTAGTACGGATTATACAGACTCTCATCGCCATTGTACTCCTCGTCTTTTTCTTCAGAGTAATAAGTCCCTCCACGTATGACCCCGAAGTTGCCCGAACCTAGAAGTGGGTGTTGTGCATCTTTAACCGTGGACGCTGATGATTGATAGGGGGCTCGTTCGCGTTGGAAGTAGCCCAAAAAACGGTTTGGACGATAACGTTGTTGCTGTTGCTGTTCATTGTAAGTTAGTCGATGGTTGGCGAATAGTTCTGCAAAAGAAGGAAAGAAGTTTTGACTCTCTTGTTCTAAGCTTTTATCTTCCTGCGCTGTTGGAACTGCTTCGATTTTATCTGCTTCTACTTGGGACTCGGTCGTTGTTGTTTCTGGAGTATCTGATGCTTGATTGAATGCTGGTTCTTCTTTGGCTTGTTGAGACTCGTGATTTTCAGTTTCAGCTTCATCGGGTTCCATGTACATGTCCGAGTCATCTGATCCATCGTAGTCTCTGTCGTGAACTTCAGATGCAGCAGCTATCGAATCCTAAAAAAAAAGATTGAAAAATAAAATTAGATGTAGTTTTATTATAAACTTTATTAATATTGTGATTATTTCAAAACAACATTGAGAAAAAAATCTGGTTCTCTGAACTAGAAAAATCTAATTAAATAGCATCCCTACTATTTAATTGAAGTACTTTTACCTAAAATAATTTATCATATTGAACCCCAATAGATAAGTAAATTAAACTATTTTTAGTTAAATATCGGTTTAAGGTAGTTGTTACGTGATAGGCATTTCAACAGAAAATTATGAAATTTTTTTTATTGAAAGATAAATATATTAATAATTCACTACCAAAATTTCAGATCAATTGACCGCACCGTTTTTGACTAATTAATTTTCGAAATTATCTTTTACACGTAGAGGTATAGAGAGATGGTAAAGTTAGTAATGAAAATCTTCCGTACCACTCGAGTGGGCCAAAGATTTCATACTAATTTTACCATCTTTCTATACGGCTGCCCAATTTCAAAACACAGTAACTAACATTTAGAAATTTAAAAAAATTTTTCTTATTAAAAATAAGTTTGCCTACCAAATTGATGAAAAATTTGATTTATGAATAGAAAATACTTGAATATAAATATTTTTAAGAAAAAATTTCTTAATTTTCTGTTGAAATGTCTATCACGCATCAACTACCTTAATAATCTTGAATAACTTTAACTCAGAAAAAAGAAAAAATAATTCGGATAGCCCGGAACGGGAATCGAACCCAAATCTTTAGGTTAAGCAACAAGAGCTCTTTTAGTAAAGGTATCTGAGACATCATCCGCAAGAACCTTTTAGTCATCTAATAATTTTTTGTTTAACATGATAACAGAAAAATATTTATTAAAATATAGTCGATACACTGAAAAAAAAATTTTTTTCCTCTTAGAATACTGAATTTTTTACTCGAGTTTTCTTGATTTAAAAAAACTGGTTTTCTTAACCCTTAAATACCACGTTTTATTATAACGCTAGTTTTTTGACAGTCAGAAAACTTTATTCTTAGAGTTAAAAAACTTTCGTAATCTAATTATAAGAATACCATTTTTTTATCCATAAGGAAAAATTTCCTAGGCAGAAAAAAATTTTTTTTTCAGTGCATAACTATTTATCAATAGTTACTTAAATGAATGCATAGTTTGAATAGCTACAAAAAAAAAAGCTCAGAAAACTATATTACTCGCCTCATAAGTGAAGCGTTGAGGTAGTGATCTACTCTCGACATGTCAAAAGAAGTTTTCTCAAAACTGAAATAGATTTTGTTTACTTATATCGCACTTACAGGATAATATAAGTGAACTTATATCGAGTCAAATAATCTTTCAGACACATAAAATATATTACAATAACAATTATTTTGTTTGATATAGTAAATAATAACATTAAAAATAATCTTTCCTGGACGTTCGTGTGTCTGTGTTTATGGAACTGTGTATGTGTCAGGGAAATCGTTCGAAAAAATAATCGTACCGGAATAATTTTTTTTTATCTTCTATAGTAACACACTAAGGACTTTCTCAATTAATATGAGCATTCAATTCACTGACGTTTAATTATTATTTATCAAAACCTACGATACGACTGTGTATTTTATAATAGTATGTTTTTTTCTTTTTAGAATTATGGCACCACTAAACCATAGCAGAGTTTTCTGTTTTTTATTATTTTGTTTTTCGTATATCATTTTAATCAATTTTATCGTGGAAAATGAGATTATGAAGCGCGCACTTTTGGATTTTCCGAACTTTTTTTCATTCTTGTTACGTTATAATTAAGCTAACTACCCACTTTTTTCCCAGTGTCATTGGAATAATTTCAATGCAATATAATCAAAATGTTTTTCTTAACATTCTAATTATTTTCACGATGACATGGTAGTTTTTATTATCCAAGTATGGAAAAATAACTAATACAGGAAAATTCCCTATTTCTTTGTCTGTGCACAAAATTACAAATCACTACATAAACAATGATGATGAAGGAAATAGAACGTGATCGTGGTTTTGTTTAAAAAGGGAACGTGCCTACATCATTGCCTTGACATTTAGCATCTCTTATTCACAGCGTGCAACAACCTCATGTGAAACTTTAACAATCGAGGAGCGATCATCTAACAACTATCACTCGTCGTGGTAAATTATATTGATTGTATAGCGAACTAGAAATAATGCCAAGAAAAAAATTAAAGTCTCTAAGGTTGTGGATATAATGCGAGTTATTGTAAATCTCTGTGATGAGAGTTGCAACAAAGGTTAAAAACAATTTATAGTGAGATTATAAAAGTAAGGATACTTTATTGTTGTCGGGAGTATTTTATACGTGGAAAATTTTATACGTATTTCTTCTACAAAATATAAGCTCTTCAATACATGCAAGATAGTACATTAAATTTTATTTATAAAAAAATTAATTGAAAAAAAATTTTTTTCTTCTACAGAAGGATTTAGTACGGAGTACTAAACTGATTTAGTAACAAAATTTTTAGTCATTTATTTGGGAGAAAAAAAATTTTTCACCCATCAATATTATTTGTTACAGTTTAATAAATGATTTTTTTAAGCTAAATAAATATTAATATAAGCAAAGCATTATTACATGAAAATAAATATTTGTTTCTACCAAATAATGTTTAGTAGTAGGTACTAAATATTTCTTTGGTAAGTATTGTCGGTAGATGGCTATGCTTTAATTCCAATGTGATACAGAACCTATTCACTGACTCAGATTATTTTATTCAAATCGATTTTGGGAGATTTATCAAACCTTTGAAAACACACATACTCCCAAATGGCTTAAGGGGGTATTCTGGTCTAGAAATTAAAAAAAATCGATTTTTTTTTTATTTTCAAAGTTTAGACACTTAAGAACATGTTCTTAAATGGATTTTTCAAAATTCGAATTATTTTCGGAAATACAGCAGATTTTGTGACGCAGCATCTAAGCCGGCCGATCGGAGCGAGTCACACATCAACTGCAAGCTTCTGTTTCTTCGAAAGAAGGCAGAACAGCTCGATTAGCAGAAAAAACTTTGCAAAACATTGAGTATGAAGTAGAAGAAGGGTCAAGGTATGGATCTGGGATCTCCAATTAATCCAAAGTAAGTATTAAATATTATTATCCGAGTTATTCTACTGGAATTGTTTCTCAAACTTTAAACGCGTTTTTCTCGAAACTACATTTTTCGAAGTGGTTGATATGATATCTCAAGTTCTACCCAACCGATTCCTTTGAAATTCAGTGGGAATCTTCTTTATATATCTTTCTATCGCGTCTGCTTTACATTTTAAAAAATTTCGATTTGAAGTATTTTTAAAAAATTCGAAAAGGTCAAAAAAGAAGTAAAAAAAATTGATATTTCATGTCGACGCCATTTTGTGAATTTTATTTATTTTTTTTGGCTAAAGTCAACGCGATAGCGACATTTTCACTAATTAAGAATTTTCCAAATTTTGTTGTTTCAGCTCACTACAAGGGCTGGAATCATGTCAACCAGAGTGCAGCATTTTTTTTGTAGCCCCCACTTCACCAGTCTGTAATTTTTCAAATTTTTGATTTTTTCTTTTTTTAATTTTTTTTTATAATCTTAAAATGTCAATAAACATCATATAAAAAAACGTAAAATAAAAATGTTTTTCATTTTTTCTTATGTTAGTTTGAAAAATGCCTAAAATTTAGGCTTCTAGACCCAGGATGTCATTTCTCAGTGGAGTTTAGTTAAAATTTTTTAATTTGTCCATTGATATGTCAAAAACTTGTTTAATTTTAAATTTTATAAATATCTCAATTAAAAAATTATAATTTAATGAGATTTTTTTCTTTATAATACCTTATAATTTTACCTAAAATTATCTATTTAAATTATTTTTATTTATTTTGCGTAAAGAAGTTAGGTTATACGCTAAATTTAGTTGAAAAATTAATTTCTTTAATACTTTAGTACACGATTTATTAAGTAGCAAAAAATAATTTGTTAAATACTAATAAATATTTATTTGGTGGAAATAAATGGGCTTTAATAAATGATTTAGTTACTATAACTAAATATTTGATAATGAAAGATTTGTTACTAAATCATCTAGTAACTATATTATTAAATCTTACTAAATAGAACTAAATCCTTCTATAAGTGTACAAATTACAGGTATTGTCACGATATATAATATTGTATTGTTATTAACCAACGCGAAATTGTCAGAAGCACGTGATTAAAAGATAAGTAATTGATAAACACTATCGCAACGTGTAGTAGCATTTCAGTCAATTAAAGTGCGGCCACTTGGCTGATAATACCAAGCAAAATAGATAAGCTACTAATTATAACATAATTCGATACCCTGATTTAAAAAAAGTATTGAACCATGCAACTGTATATCTATATTGTATGTATATATAGATATACAGTGTGTGAAAAGTATTGAAAAAGTATTGAATTACATACTTTTTCAATACTTTTCAATACTTTTTTTTAATCAGGGTAATAACTATATTTAGCTATTATCTGACAGTACCGTTGTTTCATACTCAGTCAAGTCAACTAGAACTCCATTACAAATAAAAGAAGCGATAGTTTAATTCAATAAATAATTTTTCTCACCTCGTGCTCACTGCTGATGCGATCGACTGCAGTTCCATCTATAACAATAAGTAAAAAAATTCATTACAATCAGTCGATATCAAATTAATAAGATCTTTAGATTAAATACCGAAGAAATGGTTAAATAACTGATTAGTTACAACTGTGAAGTAAATTAAGATAAGAAATTTAAAAGTATGCAAATTATAAATATTTTATTTATTATCTGATTTGATATTCATATGAATAAGTTAGCTGTAAAATGAATCAAATAGATAAGCATACAATATTATTTCCTTGAGCATGTATTTAAATCAATTTACTCTGCTGAGAGCCTTATTAATTTTTCTGTTTTAAAGTAGACGTTGAATGTCTAGAGCTATAAAAAAATTTTAAATCATAAATAAATTCGAAAAAAATTTTTTGAGTTTAGTTGAGTTTTTCTTACTAATAGAAGACAACAATAGCTATGATTAAAAAAAGTAGAGCGAATTGAATGATTTTTCAAAAAGTTACAGTTATTTGTTTATAAGCGCTTGAGTGGAACCACATTTTTTTTTTTCATTAAAAAATTCACATCTCGTAAACTATTGGTCATAGAGACATCGAGCTAAGCTCATTTTGTTCGTTATTTAATTCTTTAAATTTAATTCAATATATGTTTCGACTACTTTTGCGTAATTGCCGAGATATTTTAATTTAAAGCTCAGTGCTAAAACTCTATTTTTATAGACAAAAGAAAAAAAGCAACACTTCTCACATCCACATGAATGATTTGAATATTTTTCTGAGTAATTAAAAAGAAAACAAAAATTCCAAAATTGGACCGTTTTGTCGAAAACTAGCCAACAAACCGCGAACTAGATCAAAATAGAACAACTAGCTCAGGAGGTGACTCAGTCAAAAATAAAAAAAAAAGAGTTTTGAATAGTAACCTAATATTCATAATCTTGAGCTATATTTAAATAATAATTATGGATATTAACGCACCAGCATATAATTTGTGTTTCTATTTTCTCTCTAAACATGAATAAGTGAATATTCACTTATTTAAGTGAGAACCGAGCCACTGACTTGAAAAAGTGGCTCGATTGGCACTTAAGGTTGTACGGACACTAATGCACTTTTGAAGATCAGAAGCTAATTTTTTGATATGTTATAAATTGCTATCTCATACGTCTAAATTAATTTTTTTGAATAGATCTGTCGAAGGGTTATCCTTTAATAAATTATTAAAAAATTGAAATTTAACATGTAGCCTATAGACTATTGGCGGATTGCACATATATCGATTTATGTGACTGCCTCATAGGAAGATTAAAAAACAAAAAACTTCTATTTCAGTCAATCAACTTTCGTAGAATACGTTAAAAATAAAATGAAAATTTTCTGCCGAAGGCTTTTAAAGATATTTTAATGCAAAAGATGAGAAATTCACGAAAATTTCAGGCCGACATATTTAAAAATAAACAAACCACGTGATTCAGCGCAGTGTGGCAACGTTGCACAGAATAGAGCGCGCGAATTTTGAATTTTAGTAATTCCTGTGTATTTTTATGGGTTATGTTTTTCAACTCAACACTACACAGTGAGATAAATATAAACAGCTGTTAAGTACGGTGTTGTCAGGTCCAAGTTTTGTGAAAAAATACTTGAGTCAAACGTTGACTATTTATTGTTGTTGTTAATTAAATTATTAAATTATTTTATTTAATAATAATGTAAGGTAACGATTAAATTATAGTAATGAATTTTGGTATTTAAATTTTTAAGTTTAATGAAAAAAAAATTTCGATTCTACTATGACTTACGGGGTACTGTCCGTGCAACCTTAAGTTAAGTGAATATTCACTTATTTGACGAATTTTCACTAACTCAGTTTTAGGGAGTTCATTGATAAATTATGCCGGTAAACAAAGCTATCTCAATTTTCTCATAAAATTCTTAAGTAATTGCTTGAGGACGAAAGAAATAAAATGACTAGTAGTAGCCCGAGGCTTAACGATGTTTTCCATTCAGTCCATAATTAATTAAATATACATGTTTGTACAACTATCTTTTCTTATTCTGTCTTGTCGCATTACGGAGAAAGTCATTTGAAGTACGTTTCTCTCAACTTTATGTGATACGAATATATGTATACTTGTTTATATTAAAGTATACGAGAAAAATATCATCAAAACTTATATTTGTTTCTTGCTCATTATAACTTAAGTTTCATAATAGCTTCACACGTAATTAAACGATCTATAAGCTAGCTTATGAATAAAATATTTAATTTTTTTTCAGGTACGTCCATATTTAAGCGTAATAATTTTGAATTTAGGTTAAGTCAAAAATCAATTTTGATTCATATTTGAAATTGTAGAAAAATTAAAGCTTATCACACAAGCTCAAATTAAGAAAATTTATTCTTAAGAAGATCTAGGACAGGTGAATATTTAAATTTTGGACAAGATACACTGAGAAAAAAAATAACAATTTCTTGGTTTAAGAAATTTGATGTCGATCAAATATTCTATTATTATTAAGGTAAAAGACCCCATTAGTGGCACCTTTAACCCCCATTAGTGGCACTTTTTCTTTCAATGAAAAAATGTTCTACTTGGAAAAAAAATTACAAATTTTTTTGATGAAAAGGTCTTAAAGATTATAAATAATATGTTTATTATTGAAATTAGTGATTTAATTAATTGAATAAGTACCAAAATCAAAGAAAGTGTCAGAAATGGGGTCCCCGCCACTAATGGGGTCTTTTACCCTAATTATTAATTTCTGAAGAGAAGAGCATCAATATTTATTTTTGGATAATAGATAAACAAGAGAATAGCTTTATTTAAATTAAGTAAAAATTATTTGAATCAATTTAACAAGTTCTTGAGATAAGAATATAAGTATATTCTTGAAAATTTTCAAGAACATGAATTCTTGTATCAAGAATATTTTCTTAATAATAGTATATTACACTATTAGGGCAGAAAGTTTGAAATTTCTGCACTGCGCGCCATGATGCCCGAGGCGAAGCCGAGGGCATCATGGCGCGCAGTTCAGGGCTTTCAAACTTCTGCCCGTGTAGTGTATACTATTTTTCTTTATAGCCGGTCGAAAATACGAAAAATATTGTGTATATTATATGAAAAGAAGTTGATGCCTGCCCCCGACATTTGCGGCACGAGCGAAGCGAGTGCTACTAGTTTGGGGGGCAGGCATCAAAGCAAAGTAACCAATGTAAATAAATAAAAGACTTATTTTATTTAAACACGATAAACTGTTCAATTGAACAAACATAAACATTTTCAAAATTAACTAACATACATTTTTTTATGGTTGGGAAATATAAAGAATAATAATATTATCGATAAGTTAATAAATCAACTAGATTCACATAATTTTTTTATGTCAGTCGACATAATTTTGTTAATTAAATAAATTAAATCCTTCACGATTTAAATTCTCAATGCTTTATGAAATATACAATCAGCGTAAGCAAAATACGGTTAGTAACAAATAACGAACATAATTAGGGTACTAAAAGCAACTTCACACATGTTTCAATGCGGTAGAAAAGTTTTTGCTCCCGCTGTAACAAAAGACGTATGCGTAGCTCTACCAATGCACGAATCTTGAACTTTCTGCTTTAAAAAGGTGCAAAATATGCGTACTTTCGACCGAGGTATAAAGAAAAAGTATTTTCTTTTCTCAGTGTACTGGGATCCTTTTGAACCAAGTACTTTATTGAATAAAAAATAATTATGAAAGGAATTATTGAATAAAAAATCATTAAACTTGGCAGGAGTATGTAAATAATAGTCTTTTGTAAATTGATTTTTTTATTTTTAAATTTAATCATGGAAAAAAAATAACAAAATGACAAATAAATAGGTACTGTTCGCGCGTAAAACTGCCTTATCTCAGGACCTATCACATATTCAAGTAAATAAACTTTACTATAAAGAAATTACTAATAAACGTACAACCAATATAATCTTTAAGATTAATTTGATTTTTTGGTTATTCTTTATTTTAGTTTACTTATAAGAACGAATTATTAAAATGCTGCTAGCTAAGGGTAGAAAACTAATTATCAACAAAAAATTTTATTTACTACACTTTCATGCAGGCCGCAAGAGAGTGCCAAAAGTAAATTATCTAGTTCAATTTTTTTAAGCAGTGTTTAGAGTATTTTCTGTTAGTCTGATAACCTCCTTCAGTGCATTTTATATGTGTTTCAAATAAACAAACCAATATATTCAATTGGCATTTGTTGTTACTGGTCCAGACTGAATTACCGACATCAGAATGTACTAGATGTTCTTAAATGGTCTTGTTATTACTTTATTTATTCAATCACTCTTGCTTTCTTCTAATTAAATTCCTCTGAATCATCGAATGCTAGTGAAAATCTAAATTAAGTAAATACCATAAGATGTAACTCTATTTTCCATCTAATACATCAATTTAAACTTCCTAATCTGTATTTTCTCTTATTTCGAAATATAATCCAAAACAAACGCTCATATACATAATAATCAATAACTGTTCATACACCTGCAGATACTTTAGTACAATTATTCGATGCTGTCTCTTGATTCGCATATACAAATTTGTACAAAATTATTACAGGAAATCATGTTTGTAGTACATCATAATAAACAATAATCATCTTAATGTGCAGTTATTTGTTAGTCAATGCCCATGTAAAATACTAGGAAATAGTTTCTACATACGTTCAGTTTAATCGCCGATTATTATTTCCTTATTCAGATAAGCTTATATAAAAATTATAATAGAATTGTCTAATTTTTTAAAGTTGCAGACACAGAATCGGAATATTGAAACTGTACGAGAGATTATTCAAAAAATTACTTTTATATAGTTTATTCAAGTGATCAGATGATAAATTAAACGATATAATTGATTTCTTTTAAGGAACTTCTAGACGAAATAGCAATTAGTCCAAGATTGGGCATCAATCATAAAAACAAATTTAAGTTCATTATTGAAACTTTAAAGTATGGTCGCACTTGATATAAAAAGTTCGGAAAATCCAAAAGTGCACAA